CCAAGAGACTGGTTATGGACACGGAAGATACACAATCATCCCATTGCCCCCATCCCCCCACAAAAAAAAAATCAAAGAACTCTTTTTTTAAATTTAATTTTATTTTTTATTGTGAGAATACAGTACAGAGGAGTTAAAATTACATGGGCAAGATAATGAGTATATTTCTCATCAAGCATTGTTGCTTCCTTGTTGTTTCCCCTTCCCATCCCTTCCCATACTTCCCCCTCCCCCCAACCGACCCTGCCCCACCCCCCACCAAAGTTGTTAAGTTCGTTTTTCGACATAATGAATTGTACATCTCATTGTTGCAATCAAAGAACTCTTTTTTGAACCTTTTAAAAAAATTAATTGTTAAAATTGTTTTCTATTAATCTTATTTTCCTCCCATAATTTTTATTTTAGGTGTATAGGTGTGTGTGTTTGTGCTTTTTTAAATCTCTTCTGATCTTTTGGCCCTTTTTAAGTATTCTTTTCATTTTTTTCTGTTTCTTTCTTTTTTTGTGTGACTAAATTGCTGTTCGGTTCATTCCCAGATATATACCTGTCTTTGATTATTAGACCTTAAACCCCATTGTGTACACATTTAATCCAGAAAATTATTACTCAATTCACAACCTCTTAGGCTTAAATTCTTTAACAGCAGTATTATCTCTTTATATGTATATAATTTTCAAGTAACTAATTTTAAGAATTTTTATTTTTTAGTTTTCATTTCTCCTTTCAATCCATCCCTTCTTCTCATCTTATCCTTTTCTTCTCTCAATATCATTTGTTTAAACTTACATAATTTTTAAGTGTTTCACTACTTAAGTTTAAATTTTGGTTTTTCCATTTTTTCTTGTTCGTTTTTTTGTAATCTCTCTCCGATCATTCTATCCAAACCATTTCCCTCTTTAAGATTAGGACTTGGTTAAATACCATGTTTTCGTGATCCATCCATCTACTGAGGGGCATATGGGTTGATGCCTATCTTAGCTATGTTAAATAATGCTGTAATAAATATAGTTGTGCTGGTAGGGTTAGTACGTTCTTGTTTGTGATCATTTGGGTAAATGCCCAAAAGGTAGATTGCTGGGTCATAGGGAAGTTCTAGGTGGAATCTTTGAGGAACTTCCATACTACTCCAAAGTAGTTGAATAAGTTATACTCCCACCAACAATGCAGTAAGATTCCCTTCTGGCCACATCCCCTGAAGGATCTGTTGGTATTAGAGTTCTTCATTATAGCCATTCTACATGGCTTGAGGTGGTATCTCAATGTTGTTTTGATTTGCTTTTCTATTATGGCTTGGGAGGTTGAGCATTTCTTCATGTGTCTATTGGCCTTCCTTCTTTTCTTTTCAAAGAAGTTTGTCTTGAAGTCTTTAGTCCACTTATTTATTGGGCAGTTGTTTCTTTTAGGATTTGTTGTTGGGGGATTTGATATTTTGAATTCCACATATATTTGAGATATGAGACCGTTCTCTATTGTATGGCTAGCAAAGATCTTCTCCCATCAATGGGCTTTCTATTGATCTGGCTAGCTATGTCCTTTGCAAAGCAGAAGCTCTGCAATTTCATACAATCCCATTTGTCCAAACTTTCTTTGATTTCTTGTGCTTCTGGGTCTCTATTAAGAAAATTTCAGCCTCTGCACAGGAGACCTTGGGTATGTCCTACTCCAATCTGTAATGTTTTCAGTGTGTCTGCTTTGACTCCGAGGTCTTTGATACAGGATGATATATAAGGATATAGTTTTAGTTTTCTATGAGTGATTAACCAATTTTGCCAGCATTTTTACTGAAGAAGCTCAGTACTGTACAGAGAGGTTACAGTTACATAAGTAAGGTAATGAGTACATATCTTATTGAGCATTGTTGCCACCTCCTTTGTTTTTCCCCTACTATTCCTTACCTTCAACCATCCCCAACAACTCCCTCTAATAGTATCTTGCAAATCTCATTGTTACAATGGGTCAACCTGTATCTTTTCCTTGCATCTTAAATGAAGAAATGCTGGCTTGTTTCATGCTGATTCTACTTGTGTAGACACACTTAAAAACACTTTCAAAGTCCAAAAGCATATAAATGAAATGCACTCCATCTATTGTCAGTTGGTATAATTGTGTTCTACACATTTATTGACAGGTTACAAATTATTCTCAAATTTTAATACATTAAAAACTTTCTTTTTTTCTCATTTGCGTTGCCAGGACATCGGCACGACCTCAGTCAGAATTGCTCACTTTAGACTTTTCATATGGGTTGGTTAAATTTTGACCTGCACTCCAGTCTTCTCGGGAGTCACTCATCTGCTTAGGAATTGATGCTCACTGTTGGAAAAGAGCCCAAGGAAGGATGCCATTTAAAGCCTTATAACTTTATTCTTAACAAGGATATTGTCCTGCTACTTTGGCTGTTGAGAGTGTCTACAAGAGCAAGCATTCCATGGGGAGCAGAGAGACACCATATGACCTATACGTATTGAGATTTCCGAGTTACTTGCTATCACTTGTCCTGCATTTTTCAAGTCGAATCTCTCTAAACGTACCAGTTGGAAGAGATAAGAGGAGTGGTAAAAGAACTCTTAGAGACGAATGCATCTTCAACACATTTGTTTCCAAGCATTCTGTCTAAGGCATATTCAACAACTAGTGAAACCTGTGTTGGCTATATCTATGTGTCTTTTTCCATTTGTGCATGTGTACATGTGTGTACGTATGTGTGTATGTGTGTGTATAGTGACATTCATGTGTACATATATGGGCCGATATTCATATATATGCATGTATAAATAAAAATACATACATATATATATGTATATATATATATATATATATATATATATATATATATATATATATATATCAGGTGTTCAGTGATTTAATCTAGAGTTCCCAGCACATTGTCCTTATCAAAAAGTGTACATGATAAACTGCTCTAAGCATCTGTGTTATATGAGGGGTATCCTTTGTACATACTTCCCCCATTAACTTGTTTTTCATCACTGTGAACAACTTCAGCCTACTTTCCCATAGGATAGCTTTGTTTTTGTTACTTACTGACAATAAAAGAAAAAGGTTGTTTGTAAATGAAAAAGAACTTTTAGGTCCCAGGCTAAAAGTATATTATCAGTCCCAATGATTCGTATGAGATAAAATTTATAATAGTACTAAAAGTGAAAAGGAATTCCTAGATCTGTTGTTTTGCCATTTAGAATGGCAAAGAATAATTTCACGTCACTGTTATAACTCTTAAAGAATGCAAGGGTAACTGATGGTCCCTATCATGTTCCCACAAAACCAGTGGATCCTGAAGGATAATAGTAGACCAGCAGAAATTCTAAGTAGCAGACATGGAGCATGAAAGAGAAAGAGCAGAAATGAAGAGAGTGAAAGACAGAGAAAAATATCATAATATTAAAGTGCGTAACAGATAAACAAGAGGTGTATGAGGACATTCATACTGCTATTTTGAGACACTACATGTACATTTGAAGGTATTTGATGTATGATAACGCATCAAAATAAAATATAAAGTGATTTTGATAATAAATAAAAATGGCTCAGAAGAAATTATAAATGCAAAAACAGTCTTCACAGAAGCAAACTTTCAGAAATATTTCTTGACTTTGAAAAGGATAAATTGGCTGTAGTTAGTATAAATTTAGAAGTATGACAATTCACAAAAATATAAAAATGTGTTCACATATTTCATTATATAACCCAAAGCAGAAAGCAAATATTGTTCAGATGATTTTTTAAATCACAGTTTCTCAGGAGCTGGGAAGGCGGCTCAGTGGTAGAGTGCTTGCCTTGCATGCATGAGGTCCTGGATTTCATTCCTCAGCACGACATAAGCAGAAAAAGATGAAAGTGCTGCTGTGGATCAAGTGATAACGCTAGCCTTGAGCTGAAGAGCTGAGGGACACTACCCAAGACCCAGAGTTCAAGCCCCACAACCAACAAAACCAAAGCAAAAAACAAAACAAAACAAAACACAGTTTCTCAATTTTGTGGCCTCAACACTATAATACCACTACTTCAGCCTAGGGTTAAGATTTTAGGTGTGGACATTTATCAACACTCCTGATTCAGACTCTACTTGATATAATTTTTAATCAATATTTTGTTTTTAGTTTTGCTATTTGTAAATTCACATGCACCTATGAAAAATGGTGTGGCCATCCCAATAATATTCTCAAAGTACCTCTTAATCACGACTCACAAAAAGTTGTATTATATTACGACAAGGAAAAAATGCTATAAATAAAGAAAACAATAATTATATATTAATGATTCCTAAAATAAAAAAAACAAAACAATTACCAGGGTTTACAGTATTTGAAAAGTACATAGTAGATTTTACTATTTTCTCATATTCCTGTACATTTAAAACTGGATAAAGCTATGAGTAGCCTTTAAATTTACCCACTAAGATGACTATTTATAGATAATCTCATCATGTGTATGTGGCTTTTATCATTATTTGTTCATCACTAACATATAACTTAAGGGAGCCCTAAAGATTTATCAGAAACTGTGTACTTAAATTCTTAACTCTTCACTCTGCTTCTTTACACAGTCTTTGCAACTTCTCATTAGCAAAGTTTCTATAAACTCTGAAATGTACATACTTAGTAGTACATGCTACCGGAAATATTATATACTTTATCGAAAAAATTTATGACCTACCAGTCTTAATTTTGCATATATAAGCAAATCCCAAAATGAAACATATTTAAATCATTAAAACTTTTAACAAACCTTAACATTTGCTGCAATGATCATTATGACAGGTGCCTTGTGTAGAATAATTGAATTCCTCCTCCTACACATCTCATGAACAACAAATATCTGGAATTATTTTGTTTTTGTCATGTCAATATTGACTTTATTCTTAAACGTGTGCTTATGTAAGAAATACATGGTTGCAAAATTTCACAACTTTTTGAACTTACTTTTTGTTGAATTGTCTAGTTTAAGACAATCAATTACACTTTATATATAAAAAATGTTCTGTGCTCAATTTGGCTGCACATACACTAAAATTGGAACATACAGAGAAGATTAGCATGGTCCCTGCACAAGGATGACACGCAAATTAATGAATCGTTCCATATTTTTACACCAACAGATGCTGGATGGGATGTGGCCAGAAGGGAAGCCTACTGCACTCTTGGTGGGAGTGTAAACTTGTTCATCCATTTTGGAAAGCGGTTTGGAGCTTCCTCAAAAGACTCCACATAGAGCTCCCCTATTACACAGCAATCCCACTTTTGGGCATTCACCCAAATGATCACAAATAAGTCCATACTAAAACTACCACCACAACAACGTTTATTGTAGCATTATTTGCCATAGCTAAGATACGGAACCAACCCCGATGCCCCTCAGTAGAAGAATGGATCAAGAAAACGTTCTGTGTGTGTGTGTGTGTGTGTGTGTGTGAATGTACACTTACACAACCACTTTGGAAAGCAATCTGGTGAGTCCTCAGAAAGCTAATTATTGACCTTCCTTATGGCTCACTCATACCACTTCTAGGCATCTATTCTGAACAACAGGTACCAATATTCAAGGATACATGCACCTCCATGTTTATTGCAGCACTGTTCACAATATACAGGATATGAAAACAACCCATATGTCCCACCAGAGGTGAATGGATCCAAAAACTGTGGTAACTATACACAACGGAATATGTTCCAGCCATTAGAAAGACAAAATAATGGCATTAGCAGGGAAATCAATCAAGCTACAGGAAATCATGTTGAGCGAGGTAAGACAAAAGCAAAGAGACAAACAGCACATGGTCTCCATGGTAAGTGGATGTTAAATCCAAAATGTAAGGTGATACAACAAAATTAACAACACTTAAGAAACCAAGGACTTCCACTCATCTGGTCGAATCACTACTAAATATCCTCATTCTGCTGATCATATTTGCACACTGAAGGGAAACCAGGAAGACGACACAGAACTAGAAGGAATCAGGGAAAAACATACAACAGTGGGATCCATCACCTGCACTGGACATTGACCAAAATGAACTAAGCAACTCAATGTCACTGAAGGGAAGGAGGGAACAAGTGGGAAAGAGGGAACAGCAGACACTATACAAAACAAAGGAAATATACATATTTCAAAACAAAAAACTATACATATGGAGGAAATAACTCTATTGCAAAGCTCATAGAACTCATAAGTATTGTAGACCATGATAGACAATTTGCTCCATCAAAGTTAGAATGTGTTTGTGACTTTAACTAAGCATCACTATCCCACAATATTGTGAAATATGGGAAATTATGTAATCATTTAATCACAATAAAAACATTTGAAAAAATGATGAAGGTGGAAAACTAAGTTGCTCTAAAAAACAAAAAAGGAAAATGTTCTGTGTGTATATGTGTGTACACACACACATATACTATATATATACATATATATGTGTATATATATTAATTCTATGCCTCCATCAGAAAGAATGACATCGCCCAATTTTTAGGAAATGGAAAGACTTGGAAAAAAATTATATTAACTGATGTAAGCCAAGTCCAAAGAAACATAGGTCCCATGGTATCCCTTATTTGCAATGACTAGTATATGTCTGGGATAAGCAGAAAAGTTGAAAAGCTATGTGTATATGACTACATAAGTAGATTTTAAGCTAAATGACCCCCAAGATAGAGACACAAGTGGTTTTTTCTTTCTTGCTGTTGTTTCTCACATATTTATAATGTACAACGTGATTTCTTTTTTTTTTAATGTGTTTCTCCCCAACAATATAACCCCTGTTTTCACTTTACTTGATGTTGGTGCACCTGCATCTTGTATATACACTTCTCTAATTTGGGGAAAGAAAGGGACAAAACAACATGCTTAAATAGGAATACAGTTTGACCCATTGTATAACAATAGATGCACAAGACAATATTTTGAAGAACGAATTTTACAATTTAGGCTGGGGACATTGGGTGGGCCTTGGAGGTGTGAGGAGTGTACTTGTGGAGGTGGAAGGGAAGGAATGGTGGGGGAAAAACAAAGGAGGAGGTAACAATGCTTGATATGAAATGTACTTATTACTTTGCTCATGTAACTATAACCATTCTGTACAGTATTTTTACAACAAAAAATGTATAAAAATGTTTTGAGATGGAAGAGTTTATTTTGCCTATTTTACCCAAATAATATCGTTAACAAATAAATTAATGCAAAACACTGATATGAAGATATTTTGAAAAAGTGAGTGTGTGTGCATTCCTGCGTGTTGGCATGCTCAGAGTTTGAAATCAGGGCTTCAAGGTCTCGCTATGTCTTTCTCTCTAGATTGGTGAGCTACTATATGAGCTACATCTCCATTCCTGGCCCTTTGTTAGTTCATTAAAATTTTTGAAAAATAATCTCATGAATTTATTTTGCCCTGATTGGCTTCCAAATGTTATCCACAGATCTCAGGCCCCTGAGTAGGTATCCCGAGTAGTTAGGATTACATGTGTGACAAACCAGCACAAGGCTTTCAGAATAATTTTGAAAGTAGAAGAAAATTTACTTCACAGTGGCCTGTTTTATCATTTCCTAGTTTTAAAGCATTTTGGAGTGATTATATGTGATTTTTTTCATTCTTGAATTCTTAAAATACAGTAAGTGATGATATTTAAAAGATTTAGTACTTTTTAAAAACGATACTGGAACTTTAAATAAAAAATAAAATAAAATATATGAGAGCAGCGATACAGGAGATGTGACTGGAGGAAATACTGTAGTATCGTAGAGTAGAAGAGCTGTGGAAAGGAGTAATTTTACATTAACATAGCAAGTAATAAACTAGCATAAAGCTTTTCAGCCTCATGTCAGTAATTAAAAAGTTTAAACAAAATGCATAATCAGCAAAACAATAGAGATAAAATAGAAAACTAAACAATTAAGATGAAGAGATGACTTAGACCAAGAATAACAAATGACACAATTAGGAAACAAAAAACAAGCTGCTGGGCTGGGAAGGTGACTCAGTGGTAGAGTGCTTGCCGTGCATGCCTGCGGCCCTGGGTTTGATTCCTCAGCACCACATAAGCAAAAAGAAACAAGCCGGAAGTGGTGCTGTGTCTCAAGTTGTACAGCGCTAGCCTTGAGCTGAAATGCTGAGGCAGAGCGCCCAGGCCCAGAGTTCAGGCCCCATGATCGGACCCAAAAAATAAAATAAAAAAAAACAAGCTAATAAGTTTAAAAATGATCACCCTTAATTCTATTGAGTTGTTTAGATCACAATTTGTTAGAAGTATAATTCAAATCAGAGTTTAATAGTATATCATTTTAATAATAGTTACTTACTGATTTCTTAATATTGAATGTTTAATATATAATTTTAATTTCAGCAGCTATAGAAAAGAAGAAAGTGAAAATAATTTTGATAATATATTTATGAATTGTAAAATTGAGAAGCATTAGAGTTTAAACAAATAACATATCATTATTGCTTCATTTCTGTAATTTAATGTAATAATTCAAAGTGTATTCTACACTTAGCACTCATCTTAACATCAAATAATAAATTATTGCACATGACTCTTGGTATTAGTTGGAAGGGTTCATCACTGTGGTAAAATTCACACCACATAGTACACGAGGGTATGACCCCTCTCATATAGCTTAAATTGTGGAAATTTGATTTCTACATGCATTTTAAATTCTTGTCTAGGTGACATCTATAAAATTATTTACAATTAGCATCAGGAAAATGGAAAATTTAGGTCAAACTGAAAATAAATCTTTGAATAACAAGTCAAGATCGAATTAGGATGAATATGAAATAGGAAACTGCTAATAATATTAGGATTAGGGTATGATTAGTGTGAGGGTTAGCCTGAAAGTTGTGTTAGAAAAATGGCAAGATATTGAGTAAAACTAGAAAATATTTTAAGAAAGATGAGTTGAAGCCAAAACAGGATGTATAAATTTAATGTACTTTTGTGGCTTTTAGAATCCAAAGGCAATTGGTTCTAGGGTGAGGGTTACTTTTCTAATTTATGAACTAATGAATTAAAGGCACAATTCTTTCATTCTTACAAACAAAGACAGTCAAGAGTTGGGGAAAAAACAACTTTCTACATGAAAATGTGTCTTAAAATATTTTCCAACCAGGATTAAATAATAGTGAACAGGGTGTCATTTATTAAAATTAGGCAAGTTGATGATAAAACTTTCAAAAATATCAAAACACATAAGATTTGAACTCAGATATGTTATTGGAAAAACAGATACTTGCTCTAGCTGGGAAATTGTGTGTGTGTGTGTGTGTGTGTGTGTGTGTGTGTGTGTGTGTGTGTGTGTGTGTGTGTATGCACCCACCACTGGTCTTCTAATGAAGCCTGGGTCCTGTCATCAGCTTATTCTGTGGAAGTATGGCACTAAATCACGTAGCCAAAGGCTTTCTTCTGGCTTTTTAATGGTTATTTTGAGATAAATACCTCATGGATTTTACTTTCTGGACTTAATCTTCTGATCCCCAGTAATCCTTGGGTTAGTGTTATTGTGGGTGCTACCACAAAGTGACAGTTCATTAAACTGAGACCAATATGGAAGTACTCGTGCAATATATGTAGTAACCAGTTCATTAATGTGGGAGTAACAGGATCACATTAGATTGCCTTCAAACACATTATTTCTGATGAGTTTAACTGAAGGCCAAAGCATAATCCAAGCCTATTAGCCACACTGTATGAAGTAGCACATATTCATGGTGTAGAATATGTACCATGAATTGAATCCTGAATCAAAAGACTTTGTTGGGTTTGCCTCAAAGAAATAGAGTGTCATTGAAATGAAGTCCAGACTGGAGGCCTGTAGCAAGCAGGAGAGCATCTGCTTAGTGTGTGTCCAACACCTAGGACCATAAAAAAGTAGAAGGGAAAGTGTAAGAGAAAGAGGAAAGGAAAGGAGGAGGAAGGGGTAAGAGAGGAGGAAGGGATAGCAGGAGGGAGAAGAGGATCAGACAGGGAGAAAGTAGAGGTAGGAGAGAAGGAAGAGGGAAACAGGACCCTGGGGAAGAGGAGCAGGAGAGGAGACAGGAGGAGGAAGATAAATGCAGTATAACAGCAAGAATTGTCGGAAAACATGTTGCATAA